CCAAGGCCAGGCTGGACACTTGAAGCACCTGGGACAGTGGGAGGTGTCCCTGCCATGGCAGGGGTGGCACTGGGTGGTCTCTAAGGTCTCTCCCAAACAGGAGACAATGTTCCTGTCCCTCCTCTCACCCTGCAGGCTGTGCATCCTTCCTCAGCCCTGCAGATCCACGTTCCTGCAGGCTCCTGCTTCACTCCCAGCCTGCTGCAGACACGGGCAACACCTGAGTGACCAGCAGCACCTTGTGCCCTGCCACACGTGGAGAGGAAGGGACAAGCTACAGGAAAACCAACCCAAAAATTCCTCTGGGAAGGTGAGGGGCTCAGCCTGTTGGGGGGAGGGTTTAACAAGCCAGGTCCTCTTCCCAGGGACCCTCTGCAGAGCAGGAACTCTGATTTAGGCCCAGTGACACCCAACCTTCCCCCAGCAGCTCCGAGGAGACCCAAACCTGCCTCTCCTCCTGCTTTCCTCACCCCAAACAGCTCCAACCTTGCAAATGCCATCTCAGCCATTTTGGTGGTTTTTTTTAAATCCAAACCAATGGTCCCAGACCATGGAATTTGTCATGCAGAGGCAAAGCTGATGTGTTTGCTTGGCTGGTGCCCTGCCCGTAAGGAAAATACCTGCTGTGAGATCAGCTCAGGCTCACCTGTTTGCTCAGGAGGCCGTGCAGGACTCAGAGCCTTCAGGAGAAGATGAGATAAAACAAACCCGGGGTGGTTCATGGGGTTTGCAGGCTGGGCTCACTGGGAGTGCATGCAGCATTTCACAGATCCCTGGAATCTTCTGGGCTGGAAAACCCCAAGACCACCAAGTCCAGCTGCCAAGGCCACCACTGACCCATGGCCCCAGGTGCCACAACAGCTGCTAAACCCCCCCAGGGATGGAGTCTCCACCTCTGCTCAGGACCTGGACTGCTGTTTCCATAGAGGAATCTTCCCAAAATCCAGCCTGAGCCTGTCCTGGCACAGCCTGAGGCTGTTTCCTCTCATCCTGTCTCCTGTCAGAAGAGCCCAACCCCCAGCTGGGGAAGAGTTGCACTCTCTTGAGTTGCACTCAAAGAGGGTTGAAGGGCACAACTGGGTGCCCACTTTCACCCAGTTTCACCCAGTTTCTCATGCATGAGAGCTCCTCCACCCTCAGGGCCTCTCTGCTGAACTGCCTCTATCAGAATGTCTCAATCCTGCCCTGATAAGCAGAGCCCAACCCAGCTGGCAAATCATTTCTGAATTTATTTGGCATTATTTCCACTCGTGGACTTTGACCCCCACATGCACATAACCCCACGGGCACTCCCCACCCCTGGGGTGCCCCCTCTGCTTCCTGCACCAGGGACAAGACCTGACCTGAGGGGCTGTTCCTGCCCCACCACGCCTGCCAAAGTATTTTGGGGCCTTTCCAGCCCTCTGAGATCAGGGTGAGGGCAGGCAGGGGCTTCAGTGCAGTGGGTTTTTTTGGGAAATCACCCTAAGGACACAGAGCAGAGCAGTGCTTTGAGCCTCTGGCAGCAAGGCTTGGAACTGGGGGGCTCTGTAAGGTCTCTCCCAACTCCCCCATCCCCAATTTTCACTCTTTTTTTCCCTCCTGCAAGCTCAGCAGCCCATCCCCAGGAAAACCAGCGGCGCTGCCTGCTCCCAGCTGGGATTGGAGGAGCATGGAAGGCAGGATTTCCTCCTGGGAGGGAAAGGAGGCGGGGAAAGGAGGGACTCTGTTCCACTCCCGGCAGGAAACACTCCCCTGAGCAGCCTCAGCATCACTGGGGGCCGGGCACCTTCTCCTCCCTGTTCCACAGCACTCTCTTCCAGCCTCCAGCTGCTGCTCCAAGGAGCTGGGACATGCTGGGATTGCCCTCTGGGGCTCCCTGCAGGAGGAAGAAGAAGAAATCCAAGAGCAGAGCTCATGACTAAGCTGTGTCCAGAGAAATTTAATCTCCTCCTGGGCCTTGACCTCACAGCACCCAGTGGAGCTGGGCTGATGCTGGGGCATGGAAAGCAGGCTGGAAATTTCGAATCCGCTCTGCCTGGGTCTGTCTGGGCTCCTTCCGGCTGCACACGGAGCTCTGAGCACAGACAGCTCCACAAAACCAGGTGTTTTTATCAAAACCAAAGGGGTTTTGCATAAAGAGGAGCCACCCTGCACCTTTGGTGCCAGGTGTCAGTGAAAACCATGCAAAGGACGTGAAAAAAACAGCACCAAGAGAGAAGTGAAAACTCAACCTTTTGGGTCTTTTTTAATCCACTCGCTGATTTCACCACACGGAAAATAAAAAAGAACAGTACAAAGAACTGTAAAAAATTCTGATCCTTCCAAGCAAGGTGCATTGCACTGCAGCAGGAAACAAATCATGTGCTGGTTCAAGCCTAGAAAGTAGGAATATTTGGCAAAAACCCCCCCCTGTACCAACAGACAGCATCCACGGAAAGCACGTGTGTCCAAAGGGAAAAGGTTCTGTGCACCTTGATCCTTTGGGACACGTTGCATAAACACCACAAAACTCAACAAACTGGGAGCAAACCCCAGAAGTCTGGGGCAGCCCAGACTGTTGGCAGAACACATCACCCTTGGGAAGTGCTGGTGGGGAGATTTTGGGGGAAAACACCACAATTCAGCCTGGTGTGAGATGTGCCTCTCCCCAGACCCTCTCATTACCCTCAGGAATGCTTGGCTCAGCCTGGGATCCAGGTGCTTGAGGTCCAAAATATTCCCTCCCCTGCTGGCAGCAGGGTGGGATTCCCACAGCCTGGTGCAAGAGAGGGTTTGAAACAGCTCCCAGGACAGAAAAGTAGATGCTGAAAAAACAGAAAGCCTTTCTAAATCATTATTCAGTTTAAAAAAAAACCACAAACCAGGACAAAGCAAGCGTAGAGCACTCACACTCCAAAGAGAGCACACACTCCAAGAACCCCAGCCAGAGCAGCCCAGGAATCCCACACACTGCAGCAGGGTTTGTCTCCCTGCTGTGTCCAAAAAGCCACTGTCCCCTCCCCAAGCCTGGCTGATCCCTCAGGGGCTCTGGAGGGTGTTTTGGGGGGCAGGAGGTTCCCACCCTTTTTCCCCAGAGCTGGTTCAAGCCTAGAAAGTAGGAATATTTGGCAAAAACCCCCCCCTGTACCAACAGACAGCATCCACGGAAAGCACGTGTGTCCAAAGGGAAAAGGTTCTGTGCACCTTGATCCTTTGGGACACGTTGCATAAACACCACAAAACTCAACAAACTGGGAGCAAACCCCAGAAGTCTGGGGCAGCCCAGACTGTTGGCAGAACACATCACCCTTGGGAAGTGCTGGTGGGGAGATTTTGGGGGAAAACACCACAATTCAGCCTGGTGTGAGATGTGCCTCTCCCCAGACCCTCTCATTACCCTCAGGAATGCTTGGCTCAGCCTGGGATCCAGGTGCTTGAGGTCCAAAATATTCCCTCCCCTGCTGGCAGCAGGGTGGGATTCCCACAGCCTGGTGCAAGAGAGGGTTTGAAACAGCTCCCAGGACAGAAAAGTAGATGCTGAAAAAACAGAAAGTCTTTCTAAATAATTATTCAGTTTAAAAAAAAAACACAAACCAGGACAAAGCAAGTGTAGAGCACTCACACTCCAAAAAGAGCACACACTCCAAGAACCCCAGCAAGAGCAGCCCAGGAATCCCACACACTGCAGCAGGGTTTGTCTCCCTGCTGTGTCCAAAAAGCCACTGTCCCCTCCCCAAGCCTGGCTGATCCCTCAGGGGCTCTGGAGGGTGTTTTGGGGGGCAGGAGGTTCCCACCCTTTTTCCCCAGAGCTGCATTCCCAGCCCTGTTTCCCTTTCCCTTCCCTCCACCCTCCTGCTCTCCAAACAACTCCTGGAAGTCCTTTTAGCATCCTAAATGTTTCCTAGGGAAACCCTGAGAACTCTTTAAAGCCAACAGGGACTCTCAAGCTTGCCAAGAGCCAGCAAAAAGGGAAAGGATGGTTTTAGGGTTTGGAGAAGGCCAAGCCCTCCCTCCCCTCTTGGAATGAAGCATTAGGAAATCAAAAGTAGAGCTGCAGCTTTCACAGTGACCAGGAAACAGCTCTGCCCTTGTCCAAGGTGACCACAGGGCAAGGAGATTGTTCCCAATCCTGGCAAGGCCAGAAAAAAAGCCCCCCAGCAGGGAATTTAACCATTCTGGGACTCTTCCCATGCAGTCAGTCAGCAAGTGTGGGACTGGCACACGCCTGGCACCTGATGTGGCACAGCTGGGTGCCCACCTGAGGAGCTCTGGGCTCCCCCTGGAAAAATCCAAAGCAGGAGCCAAGCAGGTACTTTGTGCCCTCTCCAGAAACCTCTGGGGAGTAGAACTGCAGGAATGAAAAGCACCTCACAGGTGTAAGTGGGGCACCAACCCTTGGGCTGACCAGTACCAGCCCAAACTGGAGGGACTGGGAGCTTCACTCATCCCAAACTCCTCAGGGCTTTACATTCCTTCCTTCCCACACCTGACAAGGGCAGGAAGCAATCTTCCCATCTGAATCCCTGACCCAACAGGGCACGGAGCTCCCCCAGCCTGAACCCCCCACCACAACCAACACCCCCAGTGTAACAGCTGAACTGGGAGCACTGGGAGGGGAGAGACCTGCATGGAGCACGAATTAGGAGCTACAAAAACTGCTTCAGCACGGCCAAAGGTGTGTGTGAAAAAGGGAATCTGGGTGTGAGACTGGGAAAGCTGATCAGGGAGAGAAAACCCAAATCTGAGTCTGTGCTGGGTCCATTCCAAACGAGCACAAGAGAACTCACGTGCTCCCAACCTGAGCATCCAAACCCAGCAGGTGGAGAAGGAGGGCAGGAGGAGAGCAAGGCAGCTTTGCTCCCAGGCAAGGGACAGTCCCATGGCTCATTGTGCAGCAGATCCTTAATTTCTCCCCCCAGAAGGAGGGGTCAATCCAGCAGATGGCAAATCCCATTGCATCGGGACACACAAGTTCAGGGTCTGGCTTTTCCAGCAGCCAGACACCCAGGGGGAAAACAAGGCAGCTGGGAAAGGAGCAATTTAGGGAAGTGAGAGGTTTTATCAAGGTGCAGGTGCAAAACAAAAAGCATTTGCCCTCCTTCCCGTGGACTGGAATCCAGCTGTGGCAGCACTGCATCCCCGCCATCATCTGAGGAGGAATCTAGATCTGCAAAGGCAAGAGGAAAGGTTGGCACCACCTGAAAGCTCAGGATTATTCTGCTGACTCCAGTGGGCTGAGAAGCTCCCAAAGCAAACACGAGCTCTTGCCTTTGTTTTCCTAACTTTCCTCTTCCTGTGGCAGAAAATAACGACAGGCACATCTGCCCTGAAGGGCAAGACATGGAACAGGGTTTAAAGGGAGAGAAGAAAGGGATTTCTCCACAAATCCTACCCTTTCTCCCACTAAAATCCTCTCTGACAAGTCATCAGGATCAGTGCCAAAGTCATTCAGCACAGCCCAGCTCGAGACTGTCCCATCTGTGCCCTGGGTCAGCTCTGCCAGCACTTCTCAGTCGTATTTCTCCATTTCCTGGCAAAACCCTGTTTCTGCACCAAACTGGCTTTTCCCAAACTCCTGAGCTGGGGCTTTGGGACCCTTTCTAATGCAAAGGGACAGTATTTTGTGTTTCCAACCCCCACTTTGGGCTGGAATCTCACCTTCTGATCCAGTCTCTGATAATCACCAGATTTGGGCCGTCGACCAGTTTTTGATCTTTTTCCTTCCAGAGCAAAAGCAATGATCTTTGGAGAGAGAAAAATGGAGACAGGGTGAGTGGAACAGCAGCTACCAGCACAGGCTCACCTCTGGTTTTTTGCTCATCTGCTCCCACCACCCTTTTCCTGTGCCCAAGCACTAGAAACATTAAATGCCAGTACTCAACCATTCCTAAGACAGACAAGGAGATTTGCTCAACAAGCAGAAAACAGTAAGAATTTTCTTTTTTTTTTTTTTTTCCTCCCTCAAAACCAGCTTTATGTGAGAAAACACAACCCCAATCTCGTGTTGCTGCTACAGAAAACTGCCAGCAGGCAACTGTCAGAAATAAGATGGAGGGATCTCACAACCCTTTGTGGTTTCACCTCTGAAAACCAGCAGCAGAGCTGAGAACACCCAGTTCCCACCAGAGCCAGCCCCATTCCTGCTGCTGTGGGACCACACAAACGTGGACCAAACTGGGAGATACTGGTGAGAAACCAGTCAGGATGAGGGGAAAGGGCTGGTCCCACCTGCCACCAAGATATTTTATGAAAAATCCCTTGGCCCAGGAAGGTGAGAAGCCTCAGAGGAAAAGAAAAACAGTATTGTCTGCTTGCTTCTCCCTGTGTTTTGCAGCTTTGGAATGTGGCAGGTGCATCTTTGACTGGTTCCATGTGAATTGTTTTTACTTCATGACCAGCCCCAGTCCAGCTTTGCTGGCCTCTGATCTGTCAGGGGTTTTTATTAATTATTCATTCCTGTCTAGCCTTCTGTTTGTGTCCTTCCTCTATGGTTTAGTATTTTAAAAATTATAATATAATATCATAATATATTCATGTATTATCATATAATTATGATATATTATCATATATTATGGCTGATGCTTTGTGTGAAGAGACATGAATCTTGACTCCATGTTTCAGAAGGCTGATCTATTATATTATATATATTATATTAAAATGATATACTAAAACTATACTAAAAGAATAGAGAGAAAAGGATCCATCAGGAGGCTGGAAAGGACAAAAATGGAATGAATAACAAAGGCTTGTGACTCCCAGAGAGTCTGAGCCAGCTGACTGTGATTGGCCATTAATTAGAAACAACCATCATGCACCAAACACAGCTGCACCTGCTGCATTCCACAGCAGCAGACAGTTATTGTTTATACATTTCTTTCCTGAGGCTCCTCAGCTTCTCAGGAGAAAAATCCTAGCAAAGGATTTTTCATAAAAGATCATGGCTACAATATATAATATATTATCCTATAATAATAATATTTATAAAGTATATTAATATATTATCATATCTATTCAATAACAAACCAGCCTTCTGAGAAATATGGACTCAGATTCATCTCCTCCCTCCTCCTGGGACCCTCAGAAGCACTCCAAGCCCCAGGGCAAGGCCGGGGGCTCCAGCAGGGCTGCTCACCTTGCGTTTGTTGTGGTAGGCCACGTACAGGGCAGCCACAATCACAGCTGTGCTCACCAGGTAGGCAAAGAAGTGGCTGCTCTCCGAGCGGGCCCTGGGCAGGGAGGGGACACTCTTGTCCCTGTGCAGATCCAAGGAGGTGTCACTGCCCTCCTCGGCTTTGGCCACGTCCTCCACGGCGCTCTCTTCGTTTTCCAAGGAGCTGTCGCCCTCCCCAGGGGAGGGAGCTGGCTGTGACACAGGGCTCTGCTCCTCCTGGGACTTCTGTGCGCCCTCCTGGCCGTGAGGCTGCTCATCAGCAGCGCTGCCCTGGCTCTCAGCCTGGGCCTGCTGCCCTCCTTGGCCAGCTTGGTTCCTGTCACTGCTGCCCTGGCTGGTGCCACCCTGGGTGTTGCTCTGGTCCTGGTTGGTGCTGTCCTGGGTGTTGATGTTCTGCTTGGTGCTGCCACTTGTGTTCTTGTCCTTGCCATCACTGCCCTGAGTGCTGCCCTGCTCCTTCTTGCTGTCGTCCTGGGTGTTGCTGCCCTGGGTGTTGCTGTTCTGCTTGTTGATGTTCTGGTTGGTGTTGTCCTTTTTGGTGCTGCCATTTGTGTTCTTATTGTCATCTTTGCCATTGCTATCCTTGTCATTGTTGCTCTTGTCCTCTTTGCTGCCCCCGTTCTCGGTGCCCCCTGCCTGGCTGACACTCTTCTGCCCACTGTTGATGTTGTTCTGGCTGCCACTTTGGCCATTGATGCTGCTCCCTGTATTGCCCTGGCTATCAGTGCCACTGCCTGTGCTGCTCTGGACACCAGTGCCACTGCCTGTGCTGCTCGTGCCTCCAGTGCTGCTCCCCGTGTTGCTCTGGCCATCAGTGGCACTGTTGGCATTGCCCTGGCCATCAGTGGCACTGTTGGCATTGCCCTGGCCGCCAGTGGCACTGTTGGCATTGCCCTGGCCATCAGTGGCACTGTTGGCATTGCCCTGGCCATCAGTGGCACTGTTGGCATTGCCCTGGCCATCAGTGGCACTGTTGGTGCTGCCCTGGCCAGCAGAGCTGCCCGCTGTGCTCCCCTGCCCACTGCTGCCTGTTTTCCCTGTGTCACCACTGTTGCTGTTCTGGCTCACAGCTCCTTGCTGCCCTGCTGCACTGCTGCTTGCACCATTGCCGTGTGCACCTTGGTCACCCTGAGCAGCCTCTGTGCCTTTCTGGGACTGTTTTTTCTTCTTCTCCTCGTCGTCGGTGCCCTTTCCAGTGGGATTGTTGTCCTGCTGTTTGTCTGTGCCGCTCGTGCCTGTTTGGGGGTCACCACTGCTGGACTTCTCGTCATTCTTCTGCTCGTTCCCGCTCGCTGTGGGTGTGCTCGTGTGCTCGTGGCTGCCAGCCGCTCCGGCTGCCCCAGACAGCGCGGAAGATCCGCCGCTCTCCGCTTGCGAGGTTTCTGCAGCGGCAAACACGGGGAGCCCGGTCAGCGGGGGCCGAGGGGAGACCCCCGAGGGGCGCGGCACGAGGGGACACGCCACAGGAGCGGGGGAGCCGAGGGGAACGGGAAGCTCGGGGGAGCGGGGCTGCCGAGGCCGGAGAGGGAACCGAACGCGGCGGAGCCCCAAGGGCAGAGGACGCCCCCAAACCGAGCGCGGTGCCTGACCCACCCCCGCCCCAAGGGCTTCGCTGCCCTCTCCCGCCCCCATCGCAGCGCCCGGCCCGGCGTACCGGCGGCGCAGAGCCCCTGGAGGAGGAGCAGCAGCAGCGGGAGCAGCGGCAGCGCCCGCGGGGCCTCCATGGCGGGCGGGCCCTCAGCGCCGGCTCGGCCGCTTCCGGGCACGGCTCTCGCGAGAACGCGAGGGAACGGCAGGGAGCGAGAACGGCCGAGAGGGGGCGGAGACTGAGCGCGACTGGGCGGGGTTTGAGCGCCTGGGCGGAGCCTCGGTGGCTTGATAATGGAGAGTTGTGGGCGTGGCCGCGCTGGTGGGGCGGGGCTTGTTCCGGCTGGGGGCGGGGCTTGAGAGCCCCTTTGGGAGGCGGTTGGCGCCTCCTGGTGGGCACATCCCTGCGCGGTCACAGCCGCATTTTGGGGTAAAACCCACAGATTTGGGGTAAAACCCACAGGTTTGGGGTAAAACCCACAGATTTGGAGTAAAACCCACAGATTTGGGGTAAAACCCACAGATTTGGGGTAAATCCCGCCGGTTTGGGGCAAAACCCGCCCATCTGGGGTCTGTTTCCCTGCCCTGAGAGCCTGGGACGGGGAGTCAGTGAAGACAGGCGGCAGGAAATCTGGGCTCCTTTTCCTTTTCCTTTTCCTTTTCCTTTTCCTTTTCCTTTTCCACAGCTCTGGAGAACCTGCTGCTTTTGGATAACCCGGTATTTTTCAGGTATTAATTATTTATTTATTTACCCTGTTGCTTTCCGGATTCTATTTACTTTTTTCGGATAACCTGCTATTTTTCAGACGCCGGTCCATTTTTTTTGGATAACCTGTTGTTTTCCTTTCTTGGCCCAAGCGGGCATGTCCTGTTCCAGAGCAGGAAACTGGCTGTGCCCGCCAGCAGACACCCAGAACTGTTCTCTTCTTTCAGATTCTCTGGTTTAGTCTGTCAAATCTCCCTTCTCCAGGCTGAATATCCCGTCTCCAGCAGGAATCACTCTTCCATGGGTTCACGGCCCGCTCCAGTCGCTCCATTTAACCCTAAAACACAGGAAAAACGTCACATGGAAACCAGCTGGGTCCCACACGGTGACTGGGAATGATCCTGCCTTGGAGTGTGGCGGATTGGGGCTGATTTTCTCCTCTTTTCCCAATCCTCTGGGCACTCCCAGCTCAGTTCAGCACGCTCCAGCCGTCCCTGCTGCTCGGCCCTGCCCGTGCCAGCCTTTCCAGGGAGACCAGAGCCGCTGGCCCGAGGCTTTTTCGGGATTTTAGCCGAGCACTGAGGCTGTTTCTCACGCCTGGCCCTCACCCACCCCCTGGAAGTCAAGAGGGATTGAGCAGAGGCTGAGTTTGTGCCCCTGGGGATGGAATTCTGCCCATGGATGAGGCTGGCACAGCCCTGATCCAGCATTTCTGCTGGGATCCATCAGGATGAGGAGGAGCACTGACCTCCCCTCACCTGCTGGCCGATGGCAGCTGCTCCTCCTGGATCCTGGATCATGGATCCTGGGGTATCCCAGGCTGGGAGGGACCCCCAAGGACCACGGGTGCAGCTCCTGGACACCCCAACACCTGAGCACGCTCTCACCTGAGCAGGGCTCTGCATCCCACCTCCAGTTTTGGGGCGTTCCTGGTGCCCTCTGCTCTCACCAACCCCTGCAGATTCACTTTTTGGGGACGGCTCTTTCCCTGAGCAGGCTGGACACGCGGATCTGGCCTTAATTAACGCTAATTGGGGTGTTTTACCGTGCTGTCCCAAGGCCTGGTGTCAGGATAATAAAGTCCTCACCTCGCCCGACGTGTCTGCATCCCCCATCCCGCCCCCTTCCCCCCGAGGGCTAATCTGGGCAGGATAAAGGATCAAAAGGAGAAACAATTAGCAAATGGAAGAATTTAATGATGCTAATTAAAATGTATTAAGTGTAGCCACTGCCTCTGCACCAGCTGCTCTGGCAGGAGCCCTGAGGACGGGAGCAGCAGCCTTACCCCGGACATCTGGCGCTCCCTCCCCTCCAGCCCCCGAAAAAAAAGAGGTTTGAAGAAACCTCAGAGCTCGTGGTGCAGCCCCTAATTAGCTCCATCTCTGCAGGAGACCCCTGGGACCTCATTAGGCTTTTCAATTAGTGCCTGGCCAGCCTGCGGGGGGGCAGGGCTGGGAAGGGAGGGGTGGCTGGGATGAAGGAATCGTGTTTTGGGGACAGGAGGAGCCGCCCAGGTGCCCCCAGCGAGGCTCTGTGCCCAGCCCCTGGCCAGGAACCCACGGGGCAGTGGCCAGGGGACAGCTGGGGAGGGTCCCTGACCTTTCCAGGCGCTCAGGGAACGCTTTGGGGCTGGATGGAATCTTAAAGGTGACCTCGTTGCACCCCCCTGCCATGGCAGGGACAGCTCCCACTGTCCCAGGTGCTCCAAGTGTCCAGCCTGGCCTTGGGCACTGCCAGGGATCCAGGGGCAGCCACAGCAGCTCTGGGCACCCTGTGCCAGGGCCTCACACCCTCACAGGGAACAATTCCCAGTTCCCAATCTCCCATCCAGCCCTGCCCTCTAGCAGTGGGGAGCCATTCCCTGTGTCCTGTCCCTCCATGCCTTGTCCCCAGTCCCTCCCCAGCTCTCCTGGAGCCCCTTGAGGCACATTCCCACTGCTGGGGACTATCCCAGACCCCCCCACATCCTGGGCTGCCGGCTCCATTTCACCTCCTGGCTCTGAGGACAAGTTAAATCATGGGGAACATCACCCAAAACTTGTCCAAAGCTGAGCAGTGGAGCCGCCAGACCTCCTGGTCACATCGTCCCCGATGGAAATACGAAGGATGTCCAAGTTTTTTCCTACAACAAAGACAAACCCCAGAGTTCTCCTCTTCTAGCACCACGGAATGGTTCAGGTTGGGAGGGACCTTAAAGAACAACATGCTCCAGTCCCCTCCCATGGGCAGACAGACCTCCTGCAGAAGTATTCCAGAGGACAAGTGAAATCCAGAGGGCCCCATTTTCCGTGGACAGCCACGCTGAATTGTCACCCAGCTGCAGGCGTGACGGGGACATGGATCCCTCCATCTGTTCCAGTGGGCACCCAGCGCTGGGGCACTGCTCCCCTGGTGTCACCTTCTTCCCCAGGAGCAGGGCTTGGTGGCCAATTGCTCCTGGCAGGGATAATCCCACCCTGCCCCAGCTCCAGAGCACCCCGAAAGCTTTGGAACAGATGTTCCTTTTCCGTATGGGAAAACACTGAGTCAAACAAAGGAATATTCTCCTGCTGAAGCCCAACATCTGTTTGAAGCTGTCTGGCTCTGGCTCGGATTTAATCCTTGTGACAGGTCTCTCCATGCCTCTAATGTCCCATGAAATCCAATTCAAGGGGCTGCTTGTGCACAGCCTGCTCCTGGTGCTGGGGAGAGCGGGGCCGCGCGTCCTCCAGGCGCTGCTCACCAAAAACCGCTTTCTTGGAACGGTTTCTCTCAAAAAAGCTCCGTTTTGCCTCTTTTCAAGCCACGGCCACGCACGTTCTGGGTGACACCCTAATCCCCTCTGCCCCAGCTGCACGACACGTGGCTGCTCCTCCCCAGGAGCAATCCTGCTCCAGCCCAGAATTCGCACAGATTTTTCCTCTCTGGAAGCAAGAAATCTAAAATAATTTGGAGTGTGGAATGGAAGCACGTCCCAGATCTGGGTGTGGCCACAGCAGGGATGCTCAGGGCACTCGGAGGATTTGGTGGCACCCAACATTTCTGTGAGCTGCGCTCTCTGCTCGCGGCTCCCAGCTCGGCTCTGGCAGCTCTGGATGCTCCAAGCTGGCAATTCCAGCTGTCCACAGGATGGTCCTGAGCTGGATAGAGTAGCCATGCTCCTGCTGGAGGTGCCACTGCTGCTTGCAAAGGCATCAGGAGCTTTCTCAAGGTTTTGGAGCCAGCCCCAGGTGTGTCCCCAGGGCTCATGTCAGTGCCCGTGGCTTGGCCCTGGCTCAGGTGTGAGTTTTTGTAGCTCTGCCCAGCTCTGGTATGAAAATCCTCAAATCCAGGTGTTTTCTGCTGCAGATATGGACGCCAACATCCTGCACATCTGGAAAACACAGACAGATCCTCCTCAGTCCCTGTGAGGCTCCCTTTCCCCTCTACCTGCAGGCAGGTGACTGCTGCTGCTTCACTTCCTTAAAAATACTTCCCTGGTGGCTTCTCAGCACTGGAAAGGAGAAGAGAAATGTCAGGACAGGAGGAAAAAGTGTCACTGATGCCCCAAAAGCACCAAAGTCCCACCAGGCCCAGCAGCTATGGGATGAGCTCAGCCACAACCACGCCTGGGAATGGAGGACACCATGCTCCCCAAAATGCAGGAGGGATGAGGGTGGAGAGCAGCCAGGCAGGGCAGGGAGTTCCAGAGGGGAATGCAACAGGACTGTGAACCCCGTAAATTAGCTCCAGGCAGGTGCAGCTCCAAGCCAGTCTGCAACAGAAACAAAAATCGTGAGTTCCAGGCGGAAAATTGGGTTTTTTTCCCTGCTGAAATACCAGGAGAGGGAAGAGTCCTGATACACCCAATATGGAACTGACTCCAAATGAGTTGAAAATCCATCAGGCTAAATTAGCTCCAGGCAGGTGCAGCTCCAAGCCAGTCTGCAACAGAAACAAAAATCGTGAGTTCCAGGCGGAAAATTGGGTTTTTTTCCCTGCTGAAATACCAGGAGAGGGAAGAGTCCTGATACACCCAATATGGAACTGACTGAGGTCTCCAAATGGGTTGAAAATCCATCAAGTTGGTTTTCTGCTGGTCCTTTTTCATCCCTGGTTTGCAAGAAGCAGGCCCAGAGGACCCAGTACACACCAGTAACTCCCCCTCCCCGGCTTCTCGGGCACTGGTTCACCAACCCCCCATGTCCTGATGCCTGGGTAACTCCAGCAAGCTTTACACTGCTGGTGGACACCCCAAAATCCCCCTGAGCCCATCGACAGAGGGGCTGGACCTCGGGAGCAGGACTGGGATTCCATCCCGAGGTATTTCCCAGGAAGGTGGCAGAGGAAAAGTGGCGAGCGCTTCCCACACAGACCACACTCACACCACGAGCTGCAGCTGTAGTTTTATTTCCTTTTGTGAAAAATAACAGGATTTTGAGGTGATAAAAACACAACCCCTCCCAGGGCTCAGCCCCAGACCCTGCCCACCCCAGCACGAGCGCGGGCAGGAGCAGCACCGACGAAGCAGCATCCCCGGGGCAGGGCCAGCTCCTTGCCAGGACGGAGCTGGGCGCGGGAGCAGGATTTTGGGAGCAGCTGGAGGCCTTCCTGCTCCTGGAGCCGGGATGGAGTGCCAGTTCCAGTCAACTCCTGCCGTGTTTGGTGCTGGCATCACCGTGCGGGGCTCATCCCCGTGCCCCACGGCAGCGACGGGCACTCAGCTCATCCCAGAGACCCCCATCGTCGGCACCTTGTGGAGGGTCTATTCCATTATTTTTTTTTTCCTTTTTTTTTTTTTTCTCCTTTTTTTTTAATAAAAACAGTCTTTAGGTCGACTGCTGGCAGCAGCTCTGAGCAGAAAGCCCCTTCCTCCAGAGTCTGCTTCCAAAGAGTTCAGAAAGGGTCAAATATTGACCAATAATGATTTTGGCTGCTTTTGAATCTTGATTGTGGCTTCTGCAATGTACAGCGGGGAGGGGGCGTGGGGGAAGCGGACAGGGGGGCAGGACTGTCCCTCAGTCAGCAGGTTTGGTGACCAGGGACAGGGGCTGCGTCTGCAGCACGGCCAGGGCGGCCGGCACGGAGCCGGGGGGGGCGGCCAGCAGGGCCGTGGGGGTCACCGAGGCAAAGGGGACAGGCCTGGAGAGCAGCGAGGGCGGGCTGCCGAGGCTGGAGGAGGAGGAGGAAGAGGAGGAGGAGGAAGAAGAGGAGGCTTTGCTGGCGAGGACGGCGAGCTGGGCCCTGGCCTCGGGCTTGGTGGTGAGCGAGAGCGGCTGGGCCTGCTCCGAGTGCGTGGCGGCCGGCGCGGCGGGCGAGGCCAGCGCGGCCGACGGCGTGGCCGGCGAGTCCAGCATGCTGCCGTGGGACGAGGCCGGGCTGGCGCACGGCTTCTCGGCCGGCAGGTAGGGCACGCAGGGCTTCTTGCTCCGGGAGGGCAGCGAGCCTGCTGGGGGGGACAGGCAGGCCGTGAGGGGCGCGGCGCGGCGCGGGGGCGGCCGGGCGGGGGGTACTCACTGTCGGCGTCGTGGCTCTGCTGCTGCTGCTGCTGCTGCTGCTGGGCCAGCTTCTCGCGCTTCCGCTTCTTCTTCTTGCCCTGGAAAAGAGAGTTTCAGCTCCTGCGGCGGCTGCTGCGGTGGGGAACGCGGCTGGCGGAGTATCTGCAGGGGCTTGGCGCTGTCAGCCATGGCCCCAGCAGCCTGAATTCTGAATTCTGCCCCCCGAGCACAGCCAGCACCCCGAATTCTGCCCCCCAAGCACAGCCAGCACCCCGAATTCTGCACTCCACGTACAGCCAGCTCCCTGCCAGCACCCCCGAGCACCCCAAATTCTGCTCTCCAAGCACAGCCAGCTCCCTCCCAGCACCCCAAATTCTGCCCAAGCACAGCCAGCCCCACCCAGCATCCCAAACTCTGCCCCCCGAGCACAGCCAGCACCCCGAATTCTGCCCTCCATGCACAGCCAGCTCCCACCCACCATCCCAAACTCTGCCCCCCAAGCACAGCCAGCACCCCAAATTCTGCCCTCCAAGCCCAGCCAGCACCCCCAGCACCCCAAACTCTGCCCCCGAGCCCAGCCAGCCCCTGGGAGGGCCGGGCCCACACGTACGTAGTTGTCCCGCGCCGACCAGGTCGGGTAGAGCTGCGAGTGCAGCTGCCGCTCCTTCCGCGCCAGCTCGTAGTACTTGGCCTGCTCCTCCCGCGAGAGCGAGTGCCACTGCGGGGCAGAGCACGCTGGGGACCCCGGAGCCAGCCCAGGAACCCCAAAGCCAGGTGGGGGGTCCTGGGCTGGCAGTGCCCAGGTGAGGGGTCTGATCAGGGCAGAGGGAAGCCAGGAGCTCTGAGGGGTCCCAGGGCTCCCCAAGCTGGCAGTGCCCAGGGGAGGGGTCTGATACAGGGGGGAGGGAAGCCAGGGGCTCTGGGGGGTCCCGGGGGTCCCGTACCCGCCGGCCCAGGATCTGGTTGATGGCCGCGCTCTCCTTCAGCGTGCACTCGGCCACCACCTTGGCCCTCATCTCCTTCATGTACAGCATGAAGGCATTCAGAGGCTTCTTGATGTGGGGCTTCTTCTCCTCCTCCTTCTTCACTGCCACGGGGGATTTCCTGCCACGGCAAGGAGCGGGATGGGGGGGGTCAGGACCCCTCCCCAGGAGCAGCCCCCACCCCCAGGACCCCCGGCCCCCACTCACGAGCTGCCTGCAGGGCTGGAGCTGGGCTGGGAGGGCTCCTGCTTGACGATGGGCGAGACGATGGTGGGGTGGGGGATGCCCGAGGGGTGCAGCCCGTGCGCGGGCGGCGGGACCATGTGCGGGGAGAAGCGGCTGGACATCAGACTGCAGCGGGGGGACACGCAGGAGGGGGGTCACAGGCAGCCAAGGAGCCCCCCCCCGAGAGCCTCCTGGCTTCAGAGACCACCTTCCTCAACCCAGCCGAGCTGGAAAGGCTGGGAACATGCTGGAACCCCAAAAGCACGCTGGAAACCCCGAAACTGTGCTGGAGCCCCAGTCCACCCTGGAAACCCCAATGCACCCTGGAAACCCCAAATCCACTCTGGAAACCCCAAATCCTCACTGGAAAACCCCAATCTACCCTAGAAACCCCAAATCCACCCTGGAAACCCCAAATCCATCCTGGAAACCCAATTCCACTCTAGAAACCCCAATCCACCCTGGAAACCCCAAATCCATCCTGGAAACCCCAAATCCACTCTAGAAACCCCAATGCACCCTGGAAACCCCAAATCCACTCTGGAAACCCCAATTCCACTCTAGAAACCCCAAATCCACTCTAGAAACCCCAATGCACCCTGGAAACCCCAATGCACCCTGCAAATCCCAAATCCTCTGCACTTCCCAAAGCCACGCTGGACACCCTGAGTCCACCTGCAAGCCCCCAGATCCCACCCCAGCTCTGAGATGGTGACACTGGTCCAGCCCCAGCAATGCCCTGAGCCCATGGGATGTCCCACTCCTCCAGCCCTGGGGACAAGCCTTGCCCTCTGGGGGCATTTTCAGTGTCCTGGGACCTCTCTGTGCCAAACCCCAAATCCTCACTGGAAAACCCCAATCTACCCTAGAAACCCCAAATCCACCCTGGAAACCCCAAATCCACTCTGGAAACCCCAATTCCACTCTAGAAACCCCAAATCCACTCTAGAAACCCCAATGCACCCTGGAAACCCCAATGCACCCTGCAAATCCCAAATCCTCTGCACTTCCCAAAGCCACGCTGGACACCCTGAGTCCACCTGCAAGCCCCCAGATCCCACCCCAGCTCTGAGATGGTGACACTGGTCCAGCCCCAGCGATGCCCTGAGCTCGTGGGATGTCCCACTCCTCCAGCCCTGGGGACCAGCCTCGCCCTCTGGGGGTATTTTCAGTGTCCTGGGACCGCTCTGTGCACATGCTCTGTGTGCAGCCAGGTGTCCCAAAGCCAGTGCCAGCCCCGGGGTGGCCCTGAGGGTCCCTGCCCTCCCGAGACCCACCTGGACATGGAGGCATTCATGGCCAGGGCGGGATACGGGTGCCGGAAGCCACCAGCAGGAATGGAGTACACGGGCTGTCCTTGCCTACAAAAACACAAGTTTCAGGGTGAAAAAAAATCCCTTTCCTCTTCCTCGGAGTGGTCTTCAGCTGATTTCCATCTGCAAGGTTCCCAAATCTTCCAGCAGCAGGGAGTCCCTCCCTTCCCACCCCGCCAGGAGCCTGCAGCATCCTGCTGAGCCTGCAGGAGAAGTGGAGAGAGCAGGAGGAGGAAGAGGAGGGTGTCAGTGAGCCTCCCAGGGTCCCCATGCCAGGGTCAGCCCGTCCTTACTGTGGCACCAGCCAGCCCAGCGGGTGTGGCAGCTGCCCCACGGCTCCAGGTGACAGCGGGTAGTAGGGGGGCAGCTCGGGGGGGTGCGGCGGCCGTGGGATCCCTGTGGGGGGAGAGGGAGCCAGGAGGGGGGTCAGAACAGGGGCACGGCAGCCTCAGAGCCCCCCCTGCCCTCCAGCACCTTTTCCCTGAGCACCCCAGATCCCTTTGAGCACCCCATTTCCCACTGAGCACCTCACATCACCCAGGCTGGGCAGAGCTGAAACAGCCAGAGCAGAGCCCTGGGGAGATCCCCACACCCCAGCCTGAGCTGTCACTGGGCAAGGACCCCCCCAGGTCCCTGCCTGCACCCCCAGCCCCCTCCCAGATTGGGCTGAGAGGCAGAGGCAGCATCCATGGGAGAGTCCCCCCTTCCCACTCCCCACAGCTCCCCCTGCTCCCCCAGAGGGTGTCCCTCACCCCCTGCTCCCCCAGGTGTCCCCCAGCCCCATTCCCCTTGCTCCCCCAGCTCTGTTCACCCCCTGCTCCCCCAGAGGTGTCCCCCACCCCATTGCCCCTGCTGCCCCACACATGTCCCCCAGCTCTGCTCATCCCCTGCTCACCCC